AGCCGAATTCCTTCGGAAGCCACGAGGCCGATGCCCCTTCTAACAACCAGAGCAAAAATTTTTGTGGGTACATGGAACGTCCGAACAATGTGAGAGACCGGGAAGACCAGTCGAATAGCAATGGAAATGAGGAGATACAATTTGGCAGTACTGGGAATCAGCGAAACCCATTGGACCCAAGCTGGACAGAAAAGGCTAAATACGGGAGAGATGCTGCTATACTCCGGTCACGAAGAGGAAAATGCTCCACACACTCAGGGAGTTGCTCTAATGCTGTCCAAAGTAGCACGGAATGCACTTGTAGGATGGGAATCTCACGGATCCAGAATCATCAAAGCATCATTCAAAACAAAGAAGGAGGGGATTTTAATGAATATTATCCAATGTTATGCACCCACCATTAATAGCAACGACGAAATTAAAGATCAATTCTACGAGCGGTTGCAGTCAATCATAGAGAAATGTCCAAGAAAGGACCTCACCATTCTAATGGGAGATCTAAATGCCAAAGTCGGAATAGACAACACTGGATATGAAGATATTATGGGACGACATGGACTGGGAGAAAGAAACAAAAATGGAGAAAGATTTGCAAATCTATGTGCATTCAACAAATTGGTCATAGGGGGCACAATATTTCCACACAAGCGTATACACAAGGCTACATGGATCTCACCGGACCACACTACAGAGAACCAAATAGATCATATTTGCATCGACAAAAAATTCCGAAGGACAATGGAAGATGTGAGAACCAGGAGAGGTGCTGAGATAGCTTCAGATCACCACCTAGTTGTAGCCAATTTAAAACTGAAGCTAAGAAAGAACTGGACAAGTGGACAAACAGCAATACAAAGGTTCAATACAGCCTTCCTTCGAGATACTGACAAGTGCCGATGGACTGGAAAAAAGGACACCTCATCAAGATTCCAAAGAAAGGAGACCTGAGCAAAGCGGAGAACAGCAATCCAGTCACTCTTGATGGCGAAACTCTGGAAGATGTAGAGTCCTTCACATACCTGGGACAAGGAGGTTCAGATGCAGACGTAAAGGCAATGATTGGCAAAGCAAGGGCCGCATTCCTACAATTGAAGAACATATGGAACTCAAAACAACTTTCAACCAATATCAAAGTCAGAATCTTCAATACCAACGTCAAGGCAGTCAGTTCTACTGTATGGAGCTGAAACTTGGAGAACTACAACAACCACCATCAAGAAGGTATAACTATTTATAAATAACTGTCTACGCAAGATACTCAACATCTATTGGCCGGATACCATCAGCAACAGCCTTTTGTGGGAGAGAACAAATCAGCTTCCAGGTGAAGAAGAAATTAGGAAAAGACGATGGAAATGGATAGGACATACATTACGCAAATCGTCAAACTGCATCACAAGACAAGACCTAACTTGGAATCCTGAAGGAAGGCGGAAAATAGGAAGGCCTAAGAACACATTACGTCGGATAATAGAAGCAGATATGAAAAAGATGAATTACAACTGGAAGGAGCTAGAAAGGATTGCCCAGGACAGAGCTGGATGTCGAATGCTGGTGAGCGGCGTATGCTCCTTCACGAGGAGTAACAGGCGTAAGTAAGTAAGTCTCTCTGGGAGTCCACTTACAAATTCAAACGACGCAGACAAAACGTCGCTGTGGTAGATCCAATTCTTCTTTCCATTCGAGGATCGAGTGTGATTCGACAAATGCGACAAGTAGTATCACAACCAGACTCACGCTAGTTGTAAGTTACTATCACATTGTCTATGCAAAGCGTTTTGCACTCGTCACCTAGGTACACCTATAATCTTGAGGAAACTGATGCTCTGTGGTGGATTCGATCGTGTCGAATGGCATGCAACACAAAACTTATGTCCCCAGTTTCCTGTTGACCATCTCCAACGACCACCATGCCTCTCAACATATTGGATGGGATATCGAGTTACCCAGACTACTGACTACATCGAAATTTGATCGATAGAATTCGATATGCACTGAAAAGAACCTGGAACACATAAGATTGATAAAGCAATTGTTGATAAGTATATAAGCACAATCCGGGCATCTCGGCGAAAATATGACAGTCATTTGACACAATTCGTAGTCGACTGTTTTCTTGCATATGTCACCGAACAAGTACACAATATTGGTCCCCAAAAGAGTGCGTCTCAATAAATAGAGGAATATCAGGACAAATGTAGAAGCCATGGGTGACAACTTTAAAAAGGATCGAGATGGCCTTCACCAAACTACAGACCTACCAGCCTTACCAGTACCGTCGTTAAATTGTTGGAGTGAATAACTAGAAACACCATGATGACCTTCGTTGTGATCAACAACACCAAACAACATGGTTTTATGAAAAGATTATCTTGCACAACAAACTCCCTTAAGCAAGAAGATAAACGGAGTTTTTGGGCAATGGAAAATCCGCGAATGTTGTTTAGGTAGACGCCGGCAAAGAATCTGATGAGGTGCCAATAACAGCCTCCTCTTAAGGCCGAAAAATCTAATAATTCTTGGACTTCAACTAATGTGGATCAAAGATTTCTTGATAGGTTATAGGCATTGGACCATAACCACACAATCCTCAAAGCTGAACACGAGACTACTCGGAAAATAGATGTTCAGTATTTAACGCGGAGAAATACTTAACGATGGAGAAGGCGGGAACAAGGGGTTGAATGAATTGGAGTTGATCGAATGACATGGCTCGGCCATGCAGGAGTGGTCCCTGCGGAATGTTACCTTATATCTCTTATTTATGTTAAATATATTGTTCTTTCTCTAGCCTAAGCTTGTTCTCCATCATGTATTGGTAATTGTTACGATACAATGAGTTGGTGTAGATGATGATGTGACTTCCATGTAAGATCTTATAGATTGAGCAGTTATATCATAACAAATCTACAAATTTAGGATTACGCCTATTATTACAGCGGTACTAATATCATAGTAGACCATAATTCTACAAGACCACTGCCATTGGAGATGCAGTTGCAGCCAAAGGGTTCAGAGTCCTATTGGCTTTAAGACGGAAATATACCAAGTTGGATACTAGTATGTTCACCACAGTATACACTGTCTTAATGAGATCCGGACTTAAGAACTGCGTTTAATTTGTAAGCTCATGTTAACAGGATGAAACGGATATCTCGAGAGGCTAGAAGCTCTCAGAGGTTAACTAGGAAAGGACTAACTTAGACCATGTGCGCTTTATCCTCAATACACAAATCTGAATTCTCCAAAGGACTAAGGTAGCCAAGTGGATAAATTACTTTAAGTGAACTCTACAAAAGACTTTAACAGGTGCCCAGACGTAAGGAAATTAACTGATATATATTGGCTCATCACAAAGATTGATAAAAGCCTCACCTGCAACTCAATAGGACTCTTAGCAGTTAACCTGAGCTCTAAATTGTGTAATGGGAAACTGTAGTGCCTAAACAAAAACACTTCTCCCGACCCGGATATGGTCCGTTCTGATATACTGCGAGGAGCAGTTTCAATCTTGTCATTACTGCTTAGCATTATATTCTCACATTCTCTGAGCCAAGGCCGGCTACCAGGAAGTTGGATGTTGGTTCACATCACATCAATTTTCAAAGGAGATCGAAGTAGCGAAACCTCAAGTTACCGACCGGTAGCACTTCTCTCTATACCCTCAAAGACTATGGAATCCTTGATATGAGATGGTCTACATGACTACTTACTATCCTTAAACTTCTTCTTACTCAAACGGCGCGGTCTCGGGAAAGGTGACTCATGTATAACCAACCTTCTGACCGCGGTGAGCAGATGGACAACCATCCATGATTGCAAGGGGAAGGTTGAAGTTAAATACCTTGACTTCTCAAAAGCTTTTGCTAGGTTCATCCATATATGTCTTATCAATAATCTCAAACGATTAGGTACCAAATCACCTTTAATTGGTCAGCTTACTTCACATCTAAATAGTCAACTTTTAAAGTCATGGTTAAAGTCTCTTTTTCTCAGGTCATGAAATGTTCTGGTGGGGTCCTCCAGGGTTCACTACTAGGACCTCTGCTTTTCTTAATTTATATAAACGATCTTTCATGGTAGCTATCGTCGGGCTTATCATTAGCCAAGAGGACAAACTGGTACTTCGAGGGGATCTGACTCGACTTAAAAGTTGGGTGGACAACAAAGGACTTACGTTTAGCACTTCACAGTGTAAGGTAGTCCATCTGAGACATGTTGCAGATTAAAACTACAACTTAGACGACCCTTTCTAGAGATGTCCCAAATTGAAAAAGATCTAGGAGTGTTGATACCTACAACTTGAAGTCTTGCTCTAACTGCTACAAAAATGCCTTTTGATCAGAGCGTGGGCTGGTAACACCAAAGCGCATTTTTGGACAGTTTGACTGAAGAAATTCCCCTTTAATCCTTATCAGTATTACTTGACCTTATTTAGGGTATGAAAGCATAGCGTTTCTTCCCTCACTTCAAAAGAATAAAAGTACACTGGGAACTACGGTGAACCACGAAATCAGTTCGAGGACTAAAATTCAAGTCTTATGAAAAGCACCCCCAATCACTGAACCTTTATCCATCATAATACAAGCGTCTTATGGGTGACCTTTCAATGACTTGGAACATCCTAAATACTTCTAAACATCCCCCTTGAACACGCACTTAAGCTTAGTCCTAACACAAACGTTAGGGTTAACACCAAGAAGCTGGAGACAATATGGAAGGACCGGCTGTAGTCACACTTTACAATCCTTAGTGGCAGCCAGATTCCAGAATTATTTGCCAAATGAGCTAGTCCAAGTGACTTTGCAGGAGTCCTTTAAGTGAAAACGTGACATATTTTTATGCACTAAGAAGTTTCTCGCTATAATTTACTAACTACTTCTTCTTTCATCGTTAAATATACCCAGCTTCTTACCTGAAGGCGTCGGTGATTTAATGCTACTGTACGCGGAATCCCGTTAAGCAAAAGCTTCTTTGGTTCCGTCCAGAACAATTTGAAACGTTTTTGAAGACATCGTAAAATTCGGTTGCCGCGTAGTTCATTCATGGACGGTACATCGGGATGGCTTTAGGACGCAAGAATGCTGTAAGTTTGTTTCTTACTTCTTTTGTTTACTGGGTCAGCTCTATGTCTTCTGTTTGTAATTAAATGTTTTAAGTATATTTCGCTTTACTTCCGGGAAGTGGTGATATGCTTTGCTAAGACCTTTATTCTGGTAAGTTTAGTAAGGCATTTGAATTTGAACACACGTTAACTACATCTAGTATGAATTGTATCTACAGACTACGTAGTAATATAAATTTCAGAACTGTCATTGTTAAATCAATATACGAGAGATGAGTGTCAGTCACCACCAAATCCACCCGGAATATTAAAATGTCCTCCTGTGACAAGGAAATGTAGTCAGTCAACAAATAGACTGTTTTGATACAAAGTGATTAACAAAGTATTCATTGAAAAGGTTTTGGTCAGGAGAAAGCCGAGGATGAGTTTGTTTGTGGTTACTTTTCATCCATAAGTTGTCAAGACAGTTTAACCATTAGTCCGGATGATATATTCCTTCTTCATCTATGTGTCTTCAAGCACCTGAGATGTATCATCAACCTGCTCTTAAACGTTAAGGTCTGAAGCAGTGCATAAACCTCAGTATATGCAGCACAATATATTTTTTTTCAGCTGTCACGTTTACCCAACCACTGATTCCTAACGTGTGTAAGTTTGAACCAAGAACACTACATTTCTTTTTTATTCTGAGACCGGTAGTCACTGTCTGATAAGTAAATATGGATGTCCTCTTTATTTAGTTTACCTCACGCACTGGGTGGATAGTCATGATACTTATTATTTATTTATTTATTTTAACACATAGATATTGGTACAAGAAAGCACCAAATACATATGCGCCACACAAATCTTATTCGATATGTGCGAGGGCCGTGATACTGCCCGGGTGCCCAAACCGAAGCAGGTGGTTTTCTTAGGGGGCCACTCCCCGAGCCTTTGACCTAGAGGTCTGACCCACAAGGCAGTGGAGCATCGTAAGGAGATGCAGTCCCATGGTAGCCGGTGACCAACGATTGGTTCATACGCCATTTGTTCCCGCAGGATACTGGAGCCCATGTGCACCATCAGTTTGGGATCCGGTTAAAGCGCCGGACATTCGCTTTTCGTCCTCTCATTTTTGTAAATAACACCCCCGCCACGAGAAGGCAGTGAGTAGGACTTCCCTGGCAGAGGCTATATACGCGTGGCCATGTGAGAGCATTTCGAGAGGGAGAGCGGACTTTCCCCACTCTCGGCCGTACCAGGGCATTTGGGGGCCTAATCGTTAATTTTTCGTGAGGTGAGTCTATAATCTATGGAAGAACCATGAAATTAACGACAGGTAGTCTAAAATTTTAGCGTGAAGTTCATTCATCTATGTGGTTAAATGGCATTTCTGCATCATAGCTGATGTCAGTTCGTGTTGAAAACTCTTATTCTAATTCCTAACCTTAAATTTAACTAGATTCCAGTCCTAGTTTCTCGTACTAATTTACATTCCTCTATTAAGCCTAGTAAGCAGGTTTTTCCCCAAGGTCGTTTTAACATCGCCCAACGGTCGTTCACAAATTTTAGTCTCACCACTCGTGATACCACATACCATCGTATGTTGTTTGTTTGAAAAGTTGGTTTTTAATGAGATTATAACCAACACTGAAAGTTGTATGGGGATTAATAACAATTAGCATAGATGTGTCCGTAAATAGTACTGCTTTCTTATATTCAAATCTGATACTTAAAAAGTGAATCAAAATAATTCTAAAATGATTTAAAATCGATCTTGTCTGCTACAAGTCAGGTGTATTTAGGTATCGTCTGTAAATGAATGAATATAGATAAGCACAATTTAAGTAAAATATCATGACTGAAGTGTGGCGTCAATGGGTGTCTATAGCCTAGATACCGTCATTTTATAAATGGCTGATCGAACTCGTAACTAGTCCAAAAAATTTCAGGATATCCTGTAAACCAAAGTAACCAGAACTATTTAAGGAGGGAAGCTGATTTCCACTGATAACTGGCAATTTATGGTGTGTCCCAAAAAAGAACCTGAATGTCATCCATTGGTATCTTTTAGATCAACCACAACCTAAAATGTGATCAGGGCTGTTGCTCGAATCTGCTTACTCGTTCTTCTAGGGTCACGTTTCTCATTATTTATTTATTGAAATCTAGATAGTAGTACAGTATGCACCACATAATAAGAGAATGTGATTGTGAAGAGGTAGAGAAAGGTGGGCATAGTATGTAAAACTAAATGAATAAAAACAGGTGAGTAGGAGTAAAAGAAAATAATAGCAAAAGCAGTTCAGTTCGGAAAAAAACGACCAGAGAGATTTCTTTCAGTCGTAGAAGTTACTCTTACTTTCGTGAAGAAAGTGAAAGTTACAGCAGGATCACTACTGGCTTCTGTTCTAAGCCATGTATAATCTGTCGAACAATTGTGTTTTTCTGTCTTCAGTATTCTAACTAGGGAGTCCTGAAGGACCAACAGAAGCCAGTCTTGCACAGCTTTCCTTTGTGCCTTGGCAGCATGTCATACACTGACCACCTCGCCACTTTTCGCAGCCGGCAACCTAACAATGCATAATTGTCTATTAATGAGGGTTCAATCGATTAGTGCTGCCTCAGCTCTAGCGCTTAATGCAACTAAAACTAGATGGTGTCACAGGGTCCCCGGGTAAACGCATGTGAAATAAGCCTTTCGAAGTGACATAAGGAGAGCAAATCTGTAGTATTTCAGCAGAGTTTTGAATATGGGTATCGGATAGACAACAGACATCAATGTTGATACTTTCTAAAGACATAGCTAACCCTGTCTGTTGTCCGATCTGCATTAGTGTGCGAACGTTGAACGGGGCCAGTTTGAATGGCATACGTGGTTTCATAAAGGCTGTTTCAGATTTCGTATTCAATGGTAGTGCTCAACTTTCGACTGGTCAGTGACGCGAGATCGTTTAGATAGAACAGATTTTCCACCATAGAGGAGCTGCCATGGGAGTTGAAAAATAAAGGAATGTACAAAATGGGTATATACTAATAAACAAGTGACATAATGTAAAATAAAAATAAGTATTAATAAGTAGTTGTGTGATTTGCGGGTATGAGAATTAAAGCGCGAATAGTTTTTGTAATTGTAGTCATAATTTAGCTAGTGAACGGGTTAGCATACCGCCTTGATGCTCAGATCGAAGCAGATGGTTTTTTACAGAGCTACTTCGCGGGCATTTGATGTGGAGGTCCAATCCACAAGATGGTGGAGCATTGTTAGGAGATGCGATCCCATGTTAGCTGATGACCGATACACCATTATTCCATAGGATCCTGACACTCATGTTCACTATTGGTTTGGAATCCGAATTTTTCCATTCACCTAGGTGACCCCTCCGTATTCATATTTCAGTAGCAAACCACTCGTGTCTGACCTCTCTAGGACCTAAGTTTTCTAACTCATCTTTTCTACAAAAAAGGCAGTATCACTAAAGTTGGTAATTTTAAAAATGCTAATTTAATAGTGGTTTTCGTTTAGAGAGATATTGACATCCATATTAAAGTGGGGAAACATTACCTATGGTATTTGGATCAAAATACAGTTTTCTCAAAAACTAGTAATGCTCTTTTTGAATTTGATCGTTAGACTCGTCTACCTCCAGAGGTAAATAGAATCTTGTTGGTGAAAAACCTACCCTATAACATATCAGCGGAAGAAATGTATGATATTTTCGGCAAGTACGGTGCTATCCGTCAAATTCGTATCGGCAACACCCCTGAAACGAAAGGAACTGCTCTGGTTATCTATGAAGACATTTTTGACGCTAAGAACGCTTGTGATCACCTCAGTGGCTTTAACGTTTGTAACCGATATCTCGTAGTTCTGTACTACCAGAGAAACAAGGTATTCTGTATTGTTTTATTGTGTCGTTATCATGTTTTATATTGATTTGTATATTTCCATATGATGACGTCAACAAAAATTATTTGTCTGTAAAGTTTATACAGCCGTAAAACATCAGGCTAATATGGTAGTCTTCATACTGTTTAAGAATTTGAATGCAACACCGATAAATCAGCCGATATTAAAGCATCCTTTAGTTCAGAGCTTTTTGATAATAAGTATAAGGGCATACCGGGTTTTCTGTCCAGTATAAGTACCATATAGTTAAGGCGAAAACATTGAACGAGCTAGACGGTTTTTTGATGCTTGCATTACTCCGACCTATTTAACAAGTTTCACTTGATTGATGTGTTTGACATAGTAAACGAATCTATGCTTGTTAACCGAGTTAACTTCAACTGTTTCAATCAAAACCTGTAGTCTCTGGGTTCGTGTATAAATATCAGGTTCTTTTTAACCATAACTATACGTATGTACATAATATTTTTTGGTTGCTCTTAACAACTTCTCATTCCTTTTGTAGCAATTCAAGAAAACTGATGTAGACAAAAAGAAAGAAGAATTAGATCGATTGAAGGCAAAATATGGATTAAATACTCCGAAAATGAAATGATTCATTTCACAACGAATCTGGAGCTTTTCCGTAGTTTTCTCACACCGGACGTCCTTAAATTCTTGTGCAAATAAAACTTATACCTTTGACAAAATAATCAATAAAATGTATAAAAGTAACGTGATCATTTTTTGACAGTAAACTTCAGATATTCTGATTACATGAACAAAATGTAATCATGTTGCAGTTGTGCTGTTCTATATATATAAATATAAACCAAATGTAATAAAACAGAGGAAATTATTGTTTGCAAAGCAACCTTCATTCACAAATATAGCATTAGAAATATCAATACATAAAAACAGGTGTATAAGTAGGTTACGTATAAGTTCCGAAAAGAACTGTATTTTAGTACCTCATTCGGCATTGATTCATGGAAAATAATATTGTTAATAAAGACTGGCTTCTAAATTTTCCGAAATGCTGTTAGGAATCATTCATATTAACTCAAACTAATGATCACTAATCAACATGGTGATAAAAACAGAAAGAAGGATTGAAAACTGGATTTTGAAGATTTTGCTAAGCTTCTGATATGAACAGTTTACCTGCAAAAAGTAAATAAAAGTAGTAGAAATAAACTAATTAGTCTTATAATATTTTAGGTTAATTATACATGTCTCCAGGCAACCAGTCTGGCAACTTGGCAGTACAAGAAATATCAACAAGTATTAGACATTAAACTTACTAGGTCTTGGGTATGAGCCACACTAGGTGCGAGGGATAGTGACACTATCCGGTTACTCAAACCGGAGTGGGGTTGAATCTGTGGTTCAGCGACTAAAATTCGAATGCATTAAGCGCTGAGTCACCGTTCCACTATTACCAAGGTCTAGGTATGGTTATATTGGATGGGGACGATTATGCTGAAAAGATATGTTGTTGTAGCATAGGCAAAATAAGACAAATTGTTAGTCAATAATAATGTGACAGATAAGATTAGAAGCACCTCGCGGAGTTGTTGAAAAAGACTAAATTTGAACAAGATGTTGAGGTCTACAGGTACAATAACACCTATACTCTGTGGTTTATCTATAGTATATGAAAGTGGTTGCCACTCCAATTTGTTTTAGATACAACCGATTCCCCTCATTATGTGACGAAAAAATGCCCGATACAACTCAAAGCCATTTCAGAAAGAAACTGTCAGGTATACTGTAAACAACCCCCAAATACCCTGGTACGGCCGAGAGTGGGGAGGGCCCGCCCTTTCTCTCGAAATGTTCTCACACGGCTACGCGTATACAGCCTCTGCCAGGGAAGTTCTACTCTCTGCCTTATCGTGGCGGGGGTGTTTAGGAAATTGAGAGGACGAAAAGCGAATATCCGGCGCTTTAACCAGGCCGGTGGACACGGTAAGTTCACCTACGGGGGTTGGAAAACCCTGATTCCAAACTTATAGTGCTCCAGTATTCTAAAGGAACAAATGGCGTATGAACCAATCGTTGGTCACCGGCTACCATGGGACTGCATCTCTTTACGATGTGATGTTCCACTGTCTTGTGGATCAGACCTTTAGGTTAAAGGCTTGGGGTGTGGCCCTATGAAAAAACCACCTGCTTTGGTCTAGGTACCCGGGCAGTATCACAGCCCGCACACAAACAAAAAGAAATGACGATATCCACTGAAAATACTGTTCACGCTTCGATTGGAAGTCAAACAATTCAGATTATTACTATTATTACTTACGTCATTTATTCACTCTCTTTTATTCCCACTTCGTGTATTCTTATTTTTCAACTTATACAGCAACTCGCCTATGGTGGAAATTCGGCTCTATCTAAACGATCTCGAGTCACTGGCTGGTTGGGAATTGAATGCTATCACCGAATATGAGTACCGAAACAGTTTTTCTGAAACTACGTGCACCATTCAAAATGGCTGCCTTCAACGTTCATACACTAATGCAGATATGAAAACAGATAGGGTTGGCTATGTTTTTAGAAAGTCTTAATATCGACGTTTGTTGTCTATCCGAGACCCGTATTCAAGACCCCAGTGAAGTACTACAAATTCACTCTCCATCTGTCGCTTCAAAAAGCCTGTTCTACGTGCGTTTATCCGGAGACCCTGTGGCATCTTTGTCTAGTCTTGCTGGCGTTGGTGTTTCACTAAGCGCTAGAGCTGAGGCAGCACTAATCGATTGGATCCACATTAACAGTCGGTTATGTGCTGTTAGATTAGGTTCCATCAAAGTGAGAAGAAATCGGCGTGAGGAACGATGTCTTTTCGTCATCGCCTACGCCCCGACAGATTGAAGCCCGGATGCAATCAAGAATGAATTCTACCACCAGTTAACTGTTCTTTCCCAGAAGAAGACGCTGATAAAATGCAGAGTCTTCTGGTAGCACTAAGCAACAATGCCAGAATGTTTGGAATGCGCTTCTCTCCCTCTAAATGCAAGTTGTTGCTTCAGGACTGGTCTGCGTCAACACCTGAACTAAGGATAGGGAGTGAAGTAGTGGAACGCGTTGACAACTTCACTTATCTTGGAAGTCTGATCAGCCCTAATGAGTTGGTGTTTGACTAAATCTCAGCACGGATTCGAAAAGCTCGTTTGGCTTTTGCCAAATTACGTCACCTATGGCGAAGGCGAGATGTCCGTCTGTCAATAAAAAGGACGAGTATACTGCGCGGCAGTCCGTTCTGTCTTAATTTACGGCAGCGAAACATGGCCATTAAGAGTAGAAGACGCTCGTAAGCTACTAGTATTTGACCACAAATGCCTTAGAAATATTGCTGGCGTCTGCTGGGTAAGTAATAGTGAGGCTAGACGTAGGATATTAGGGAGTTATGGTAAATCAGTTGATGAGGTTGTGAATCTTCATCGACTGAGATGGTTGGGTCACGTGTTGCGTATACCTGAACACCGTTTACCACGACGTGCAATGCTAACCGGTGTTGGAGATGGTTGGAAGAAAGTAAGAGGCGGCCAAACCAAAACGTGGTATCAGTGCTTGGAGACACTAACTTCTAGTCTGAGCCTTGTTGGTAGATGCAGACTACTTGGTTGGGGTCCGTGTGACTATCGTAACCAATGGTTGAGGACTGTGGGTGACATGACTAAGAATCGATCACAATGGCGTAGGTGTACACACTCTCTGTCGTCCTTCAAACAGTGGGATTAAAATTGCTTCATATCTTTCTTTCTACGAACTAATTCTTTCTTCCTATACTATATCTTTATATGCAATCTTTCTCCTATATATTACCACCATTGATTTGACCACTCCTATGAATCCAGTGTTCATCTTGCTGTGCTAATGCAATAATGGCATCTTGGACCGATGCATATATGTGCGTTCGACATATATTGTAGTACTAGCCGGAGACTTGAATGCTCAGCTCGGGCGTCTAGGCACAGAAAAGAGTCGTTCAGGTGGCCGATGGAAAATTATTGGTCCTAGGATAGAAAATGCGGACCGTCTACTGCAACTGTGCACAGACCACAATCTCTTTTTGGATAGCACTAACTTCCGGCACAGTCATCGCCGATGTGCCACCTGGCGTCCTCCTTCTGCATCTCAAGCCTGGACTCAGATTGATCACATCGAGATCAGCTACCGCTGGTGCGGTTGTGTACAAGACTGCCGCTCCTGTTGGAGTACCTATCTGGACTCTGATCATGCCCTGGTCTGCGCCAATCTTACCTTACTTTTCAGTGGACAACGAAGTGACCGCCACCAAAGGATTGATGTTAGCAAGCTGTTTGCAACTTCTGTTGCAAGTAAGTATCGAACCGAGCTAGCTTCTAGGCTAGCTACCATCCCACCAAAAAGTATAGATGAGCGTTGGTTGCAACTTCATGACGCCATGAAAATGGGGAGTAAATCCGTTTGCAGGTTCACGAAACGTCCCGCTTATAAGTACCGTGTTTCTTCTGTCTCCCTACAACTCATCGAAGCCCGTCGGTCTACTCTGGGTGACCGTGAGTTTGACCATAAACGAAGGATGTTATGTAATGAAATCGGGCAAAGCTTGCGTAAGGACCGAGAAGCCTGGTGGTCGGAGCGTGCTAATGAGCTGGAAGCAGCAGCTGCATCTGGTAACTACCGGAAGCTCTTCCAACTCATCCGAGCCATTGACAGCAAGAAGTCTGGTGTGAGCGAAACAACCTGTGGGGATGACGGGGTGCCAGCCACTAACATCCATCGACGTCTTGAACGATGGGCAGAATTTTTCGATGGGCAGTTCAACTGGCCTGTTGCTCCGGCAACATCGGTCAGACTGTCATGCCCTTCATGGCCAGTGATGACTGATCCACCAAATGAGGCGGAAGTCCGCAAGGAACTCCAACTCTTGAAGCGCTACAAATCACCGGGCACAGATGACTTACCTCCGGCTCTATTTAAAGATGGTGATGACTTTCTGACTAAGGAACTGACGACGTTGTTTACAAAGTTCTGGGAGCTAGAGTGTGTACCAACGTCATGGAATGAGTCGATAGTTGTCCCTATCTTCAAAAAGGGTTCACGTCGTTCCTGTAGCAACTATCAACGGATAAGTCTACTTCCAATTGCGTCCAAACAATTGGCTTCTGTCATATTTCGTAGGTTATTCAAAACCCGAGAAAGATTGACTCGCGAGGAGTAGGCTGGGTTTCATTCTGGTCGAGGATGTATTGGCCATATTTTCACCCTCCGCCAAATGTTAGAACACCGTCATACTTATCACAAGCCAACAATCGTAATGTTTCTTGACATCAGGGCTGCCTTCGATTCGTTGGATAGGACTGTTCTCTGGGATTGTCTATTGAAGAAGGGTGTGCCTGAGAAGTTTATTAACATCCTAAAAGCCCCATATAAAAACACCTCAGGCAGAGTGAGAGCATACAACCACCTCTCTCCATTGTTCCATTCGAGCAGTGGGGTTAGACAGGATTGCCCAATCTCACCATTCCTCTTCAACTTTGCCATCGATGACGTTCTGGAAACAGCTCTGATGGATGCAAGTAATGGCGGTGTGGATCTGTCGCCTGGAGAAAGACTTCTCGACCTTGAGTATGCGGATGATATTGTCTTACTGTGCGATAATGTCCAAGCTATGCAATCCGCGCTTAATCAGTGTCCGTAGGTATGGTATGTGCAAAGTAACTCTACAAGACTGGCAGGATTCTAATCCTGTACTCAACCTGGGTGGTGAGCAGATAGAAGTAAACGGGAAGTTCGTGTATCTGGGTAGCTGCATAAGTGCTGGCGCTAGTGGCGTGAGTGGTGAGATCAGTGCGCGTATAGTGAAAGCCAGAGTGGCTTTTGCCAAC